GTCAGTTTAATGCAATCAGGCATAGGTGAGAAACCATGTTAGGAAGGCAGAGAAGGAAGCAATGAAGAGGAATGAGACAGAACTGAGAAGTCCTGGGTGTCCCCAATCGATGCCCCATTTGGGAAACACTAGTGTCAGCAAATGGTTCAGGGATCAAAGCAGGTATGGAGGTGGTAGGTGGCTCCTATTATTCATCTGTGGCCAGATGGCCCTGCTCATCCTGGGTCCTTCCCACCTTCCTGCCAGTGCCCAGAGATCAAAACTCAACTTTCTCCAACATTCTGTGACCTGCTTCTTTAATGCCAAGATCAAAGGGGAACGTTTGTCCAAGTTGTAAAATAGAAACCAAGAGGCAACTTAATGCTGCTCTACCTCCTCTGTACTTCCTAAGGGGATTAAGGGCTCCTTTAAAGAGACTCCTCAGAGAAACACCTTTAACCAAGTCCTGGTGTCGGCACCTCAGCCCCAAGGACACAGTGGCTCCTGTAGAGTATGTGCCAGGTGAGGCAGCTCGAGAGATGGGACAATACAACCAAGACAAGACAGCAGCTTCAAAAGATCACAGGGACCGTACTCATGGAAAAAAAAAATTGGATTTTATAGACATATCAGCAAAAATCACCTTAAGTGCAAGTATTCTAAACCACAGAATTTTCAACTTGGAATTTAGAAGTCATCAAGTCCAAACCTTAATTTCATATATGACACAAGGAAAACAGACCAACAAAGCCAAAGTAATTTGCCCCAGGCCACGCGGTGAATCAAGGAAGGTGTTGAGACCATGCTTAGGCTGCTGACTCCTGCTCCAGTGCTCCTTCTTCAATCAGCTGATGCCCACTCATACATGAGGTCCAGAGGAAACAGCAACTTCCCACACATGAGACAGGTGGCAGAGTCCAGGCCTCTGGCCTCCTGTTCCAGGACTTTACCATCCAGCTGCCCTAAGGTTAGCACCAGACTCCACCACTAAAATCAGTTCTATGCTTTTGACTGGGGCTGGGGGAGTGGCTGGCACTGCCTCCATCAGCTCAAAGGAACCTCAGTGTCATTCAGTCCATTTCTCCGCTTCTGGACTGGATCAAACCCAAGTAACCTCAAAACAGTGTGAAATGACCCAACGATTACATTCCTAGGTACATACCCAAGAAAATGGAAAACGTACGTTCAAACACAAAAACTTGCACATGAATGTTCACAGCAGCATTATACATAACAGCCAAAAAGTGGAAATAATCCAAAACGTCCACTAACTGATGAATGGATAAACAAATTGTGTTAGATCCATATAATGGAATATTTAGCCATAAAAAGGAATGAAGTACCGATATATGCTACAACATGGATGAACTTTGAAAACATGCTAAGAAGCCAGGCACAAAAGACCACATATAATTCCCTTTATATGTAATGTCCAGAATAGGCAAATCCATAGAGAAAGAAAGTAAATTAATGGTTGCCAGGGGCTGGGGGAAGGAAAGAGTGGGGAGTGATTATTAATGTTTCTTTTTGGGGTGATGAAAATGTTCTGGAATTAGACAATGGGATGGTTGTACGACCTTGTGAATATACTAAATAACACCAAACTGTAAACTTTAAAATGGCGAATTTTATGGTATATGAATTATATCTATAAAGAAGCCTTATAAAAAAACCAAAACGGTATGAACAATGATATATGTGAAGAAGTACAGAGTTTTAGTCTCCAAAATCAAGTTTCTAGATTCCTGAGATGCTTACAAATATACTCAATGGACATGTCTCAAGATCCAACAAAATAATATTCCCAAGAACAGTTTTCCACAGAGGGAGATATGTGCCTGCCTCTGAATTCAGACTCAGCTAGATCAGCTCCTTATCTTTTAACTTTATTCAACAGTCTAAATCCAGGCAAGGAGGAAGGCAGGAAAATCAAGCACTTCAGTTTACCCCAGCTGTCTTCTTCTATGGTGGAGAAGTCTTGCCCTGCAGGTTCAGGAAACATCCACTACGCTAACTACGCTAACACAGTCCTGAGGGATGGCAGCCCAACCCTTGGGGAAGAAGAGCCATTCGCCAAGGAAAGAGAGGGAGGGAAAAGCCCATAAATACCACTTGAAACTTGTAGCCACAACCCTAACTTTCAAAACAAAAGAATCAACCAAAAACCCCGCCTGTTCCCACGGCCACTGAATCCACTAGCTCAGTTCCTTTTTGGTTGTATGACTTGCCTCAGAAACCTACACACTCCAAAGTAGATCTACACATCCCCACTCCTAATGGTTGTGAAATGAGGGTGTGGATGAGGGTGTGGGGACTGTTCTGACTTCCCTGTAATAAAGTGCTGACACAGCCCAAATTCAAGTCTGTGATTTCACTTTGCCCCTTACTCACATACTCCTGTAATAAACTGCTTCCATGCCTTTTCACTACTGCACCAAATAGGAAGTTTCTCATAGGCACTCCCCCACCCCCACTTTTTTTTTTGAGACAAGGTCTCACTCTGTGGCCTGGGCTGGAGAGCAGTAGCATCCTCATAGCTTACTGCAACCTCAAACTCATAGGCTCAAGCCATCCTCCCACCTCGGCCTCCCAGAGTGCTAGGATTACAGGTGTGAGCCACTGTACCCAGTCATATGCACCCTTTAAACTGGCCTCTGTGGGTCACTGTATACATTACATACTCAGTTTCTTGAAATCAGTTACTGTTTTCAGCATGGAAGCATAGTACAATATTCCCAGGCAGCACAGTGAACACTAAATCACTGTGCTTAGAATACAATTCAAACTCCTTTCCACAGCCTCTCTGTAGACGAAGAACAAGCTGGCTTCCCTAAGGTATTGTTCTTGAGGGGGTGGGAAGGGGAAGCAGCTTTAACAGATTTCAAAATGCAATCCACAGACTGCAAACTGTAGACGACAATCCAATCCAGCTACAGGAATGCTTCTAGAAATACAGTTGCCCTTGCCTCCCTAGAGTTTCATTTTGTATCATTCTCTCCTACCCCCACCCCTCACCATGCTTCAACCCCTCCCGCCTCTTGTGTTCCTCAAACATACCAAGCTCTCTCCCACCTTAGCCCTTTAGACTTGCCATTTCCTTTGCCTGGAACACTCTGCCTGGCTGGTTCCTTCTTGTCAATTAAATTTCAACTCATGTCACCTTCTTTCAGAAGACTTCTCTGACCCCTCAATCCAAAGTACTTGTGTCACCCAGTCACCTCCAATAACTATCACTTCACTTTGCTGTCTTCATAGCACTTACTAGTGACATTATCTTGTTCATGTATTTACTTCACTGCCTGAATCTTCAGACTAGAAAAACTCCACCAGGGTAGGGAACCTTGACCCTCTAATTCACAACTACATCCCTAGTTCCTGGAAGAGAAGGGACTCAAATATTTGATTAAACAGCTGTGTACTACAATCTCTTAAAAGTCTCTCAACAAAGCAGGAATTTCCCAGTGCAGTGCTATAAACACGACTTTATTGAACTTTTTGCCTATGGCAAGAGAAGGTGTGACTTCCTGTAAAGTTCTTACTCCATCCGTGTTCTGAATGTGGTATGAAAGCAAATGGGTTTCAACATCCCACTTTTGGGATTTGCCCCACTCGTGGTTCCAACTGAAGTCTGAGACCATAGAAATTAGGTAAGGCTGTGAAATCTTTTACCTGACTTCTGAAGTTCCAAATAAGGAACTCCTCATTAAACAAAAAAGATAAGTTATCGGTCAGCTAACAGAAGGAAGGAAACCTGTTACCAGTCAATACTCCACTCGTTTGGAGAAAACCAACTCTGAAGAACTTAAACAAGAATCTTCATTTGCTAAAGCAAATGTCATTTTCTTTTCTCTGTGTCTTCTTTGTCATTCACTCCCAGGATGAACTTATCTGCTGAGGAAGCAGTATATAGGAAGATCCAGGAAATAATTTTGGACTAAGTGACTCCAGTTTTAGTTCTGGTGTCTTGACAAGCAGAATTTAAGCTTAACTTCTGGAAGAAAGGCCAGTCCTTCAAAGATTTACTTCTAGGGTTCTGTACCAAGAGCCTGCAAGTTCTGAAACACCTTCCAAGCACAGCTCTTAACTCCACCCTCATCCACACAGAGGCTTCATCCTAACAAGCAAGCTTCATCATAATAAGCCTTCATTCCCAAGGAGCTGTGTGTGTGGGCCGGCAGGAGCATGGGAAGGGGAGGCAGCCAGGTGGGGCTAAAGTGTTTTTCAAAACCTAGTTCACAGACCACCTCCACCATAATCACTGGAGTGCTTATAAAAGTACAGATTCCTGGACACCGCCTAACCCTACATAATTAGAATCTTTGGGAGTGGAGCTCAGGAAACCACATTTTTAACATGCCTCCCCACATACACCTGAGATTCTTAGGCAAAGTTTGAGAACCAATGAGATTAAAGGTCCCCAGGAGACAGGCAGGGAGTTGAGAGAAGACGAAGGGTAAGGGAGAGTCTAGAGATGGAAGATGAGGGTGGGGTAGGTGAAGACATGCTCTGGAGTAGCGGCAGTGAAGAGGGGTGAGCGATGGGGACAGTTGTGGGTGGAGGCGAAAATGGCTTGGGCTGGGAGCCTGGTCAGATAGGTCACATCCGCGAACTGGTCAGGATGGTAGGGAGGCGGGGAAAGCGGGGTCTGGACGTGAGGGGGAGGAGCGAGGGTGGGAATAATGGGGGGTTCTTCGGAGGGGTCAGGGCTGGAAAGCGAAAATGGAAAATGAGGGTCACAGGGGGCGGGGACCAAAGTAGGAATGGGAAACGGCGGAGGCTGTAGCCGAGGTCTCAATCCGAAACGGCGCCTCCCGCAAAACTCCCGGCCTTGACAAGCCTGAGTGTGGGGCCAAGGCCGGGGAGGGGAAATTTGGGGAATGCGAGTCCAGTCAGAGATGGCCCTCAGGCCTGAGGCAGAGCTCCTGGAGGTGGCTCAAGGCCAGGCATGAGGTACTGGAAGGTCCTAGGATACCCCGGAGGGCCCCGCTTCAGCTCCGGCTCCCGGAGTCTCCTTCACTCACCATCGCCGCCGCCATCTTGGATCCACGTGTCGGCGTGATGACGTCAGCGGAAGTGCTGCTTCCCTAGTTACGGAGTTTAACACCGCAAAGTGGTCGCCCGGCTTCCATCGCTCTTGAGTAGCAGTCAGCAGAGGGGCAAAAGAGATTTAGCTTCTGCTTGACAAACTGGTCTGGGCAGTCAGGTCGCTGATTAGGTGAAGAGAAAAAACGGTGTAACCATGGGAGCCATATTAGTTCCTGGCAGAGACTGCTCTTCCCATACACCGCTGCATTGTGGGTAATGGGGGTGTGTGAAAACGCACTTACTCTCTGGGTTCCATCTTTATTGTTGGCAGGAAGGCCCGTTGCCAGGGTTACCTGATACCTTGATTTGAGAGAGAAGGGTAGGCACCGGGCTCCAATAGCAGCCTGACTCCGAGAACAATTTGTAATTATATATTTAATTATTTACTTGAGTATCCTATATCTTTTCTAATAGACTGTAATCTCTATGAGGGTAGACCCTGTCTTTTATTTAACCTTGCTTAGCCTCATTCTCATCTGTAAAATGGGGAGAGGATTATTTTACTGTCACCATAGGCTTATGGTGAGGATTCAGTGACATAATATTACATAGGATGTATTCAATAAATAATTGTCAGTATATGCTTCTGTAGACTCCTTTGGGAATATGGTAGGTGCCCAATACAATACACTATTAAATGAATGAATGAAAAGCAGCATGAGGGGACTTCGAAAAGCTAGTGGAAAAGTGGAATTAAAAGATAAAAATATAAACTTTATTTCTGAACAAAAACTCTATGAAGTCCAAGAAACTTTTGTAAGTGATGATACCAGCCATTTAGTACATCTCTAAAGAAGTGAGAGTCCTGGGAATTTAACCATGTCAATGCAGTCTTTTTTACATTATTAACTAAAAAAGTTCCCTTTAAAGATTTTTTAAAACTAGGAAACAAAAAGAAGTCAGAAGGAGCCAAATCAGGACTGTAAGGTGGATGCCTAGTGATTCCCCATCAAAACTCTCACAAAATTGCCCTTGTTTGATGGGAGGAATGAGCAGGAACATTGTCAGGGTGGAGAAGGATTCTTTGGTGAAGCTTTCCCAGGCATTCTTCTGCTAAAGCTCTGGAAAACTTCTAAAAACATTCTCATAATAAGCAGATGTTATCGTTCTTCGGTTCTCCAGAAAGTCAACATGCACAATGCCTTGAGTATCCCAAAAAATTTTTGCCATGACTTTTGCTCTTGATCCGTCCACCTCTGCTTTGACTGGACACATCCACCTCTTGGTAGCCATTGCTGTGATTGTGCTTTGTTTTCAGCATCATACTGCTAAAGCCATGTTTCATCTCCTGTTGCAATTTTTCGAAGAAATGCTTCAGGATCTTGATCCTACTCATTTAAAATTTCCATTGCAAACTCTTCTCTTGTCTGCAGCTGATCTAGGTACAAGGGTTTTGGCACCTGTTGAGTGGAAAGTTAGCTTAACTTTAATTTTTCAGTCAGAACTGTGTAAGCTGAACCCATTGAGATGTCTGTGGTGTTGGCTATTGTTTCTGCTGTTAATCATTGGTCCTCTTCAAGGGCATGAACAAGATGAATTTTTCCTTGCAAATTGATGTGGATGGTCTGCTTCTATGGACTTCATCTTCACATCGTCTTGTCCCTTCTTAAAATGAGTTATCCATTTGTGAACTGCTGATTTCTTTGGGACATTGTCACCATAAAGAATGATTGTCCCCATAAAGAAAGAATGATTTCACCATTTTTCCACTCAAGCTTTACCATAAAGTTGATGTTTGTTCTAGCTTCAATTTTAGCAGAATTCATGTTGCTCTGATGCAGCTCTTTTGAAAATGATGCCTTATCCTTCTAAGTGTCTCAAAGTAGATTCTATTCAGACATGTTAAAAAAGTTAGTATGAGTTTGTTTTGGTGGAAAAAAATTGAAAACCAATGCATAGTTTTTTCAAAATATGCATTTTTCCATGAACTTTTTGACTACCACTCATAACCTCACTAACACCATGTGGAACAAAAGAATTGCCCAGCTGAACCCAGTTGTTTTAGATTTTGGGAGTGTTTTTTTATGCAGTCATAGATATTGAAACACACACTTTTTAACTCTTATGACCCACGCATCCATCCTGAAGAGTGGCAGATCAGATATCCACAAGGGGAGGAAGTTTGAGCATGTAGGAGGGATTTGCTGCAGTCTTACAGATAGTAAGACTAGATTTCAGTCTTGCAATTAGTTTTCTTGGAGCTTGGATCTGGATGTTTCCCACCATTTCTGGCTGCCTGAAGAGGGCTGACTGATAAGAAACAAAGCTCCATATATGGCCTGTTATTACTCAGTATTTCCATTTTTCCTCCCTTCATGCTTTGTATTTTTCCCCCAAAGGGCTTTCATATCCCAATCTCCTTTGGAGACATAGGCTAGAATCCTGGAGCTAGACTGCCTGGGTTCAGATCCCATCTCTACCACTCATTAAGCCCCATAACATGGGCAAGTTTCTTTTTTTTCTCAAAAATTTTTTTTGGTGGGGCACGGTGGCTCACATCTGTAATCCTAGCACTGTAGGAGGCCAAGGCAGGAGGATTGCTTGAGCTC